GGCCGGACGCCCGCTAGCCAATCGGCGGCCGGCCCGTGCGCGGCCGGCCAATGGGCGCCGCGGGGAGCCGCGTGATCGGAGCCTGGCCGCGGCGTGATCGGGCAGGGCGGGATGCGGCACGTGTTTTGGTCGGGACGAAGGGGCGGGGCCTGCGGCCTGGAAAGTAGGGGAAAGGTCCCGGCGGCGCGGTGGGGGCGGTGGGGGCGGCGGCGGCGGGAGAGTCGCAGCGGTGTCCAGGGAAGTCCGGGGATGGCTAGAGAGGGAGACCGCACTTAAAGGGGCCGCCTGACACAGCTTGCCGGAGCGCGGGCCAGCAGAGCGGATCTACCTGGAAGCCTCAACCCGGGTTTTTCTTGCTTGTTCTTAGTTTTCATTAATCTACCATCGGCTCTTGGGAGTGCATCCCTGACCAGGAAGAGTTTTAAAAGCTGGCCGGCTCCAGGGGTCGTTCCTGCATCCGCTCCTTCCTGCAGCTACCCAGAGCCCGAGCTTCTAGGCCTGCGTCTGCCTCTGACATCCCTCCTCAGGCAGGGGAGCCACGAGGGGTGATCACCTGAAAGGTGCCTGGTGAATCCCGCGCATTCTTCCCAGACCCAGTGTAAGCGTCACCACCTCTGAGAAATCCTCAGGCCTGAATGAGAGAGATGCCCATGGCACCTTTTTTTTTTTCCTCTGTACTTTCCTGCTTCTCTGAGTGTGGTTTATCCACTTCTGCAGCTCTAAGTTCTTGAAGATCAGGGACCAGGATGTGTTTATTTGTACCCCCACAGCCTGCATCGCGGCATGGGACAACCCTTCATCCACCCACAGGGCTCACATTCTGATGTTGGATGACTCAGTGCAAGGTGCAGAGATTGCAGTGAGGAATGCTGGCCCTGAAAGCTCACGGCAGGTGAAAGTAGTGGATCCCTGCACCGTGGGGACTGCGCTCTGAGCAAGGGAAGCCCTGGGCCCAAGGAACAGGCCACAAAAGCACGCAGGACCTCCTCCTCATACTGAGAAAGAAACAGCTGAGGCCCAGGGCTCTGGACACCGCTTGTTCCTCACAGGGCTGCTCTGGTTGGGCAGAAGGGTTGAGTACCCTGACCGACTTCCAGCTTCTCTCCATTTCTTCTTCAGGTCCTCCACAGCGCCTTTCATGACCTGTAACTTTTCTGTTTCTTTAGTTATTTGTTAATATCTCCCCACAAGAAGGAACCTTCTCAGGGTCAGGGAGCTTTCAAATTAAGTGCGAACCTCCAGTGCCTCGTTCACCGCAGGCACACGGTAACTGTTAGTTGAATGAGTGAATGAAGGCAAGCACTTACTGCCCACCCCTCACTTGGACAGTGCAGTGTTTTTTCTTGTTGTTGTTAATTTTTGTAATAATTGCATTTATTTCCACTTTTGGTAAAAGTTTGTTCTTTTTTCTTTAATTTT